TTCCCCTCTCTGGTCCTTGTTGACATCAAATAACTCAGAGATATGCCTCTTGTGGAAACTACTTAGACTGCGTTTAAAAGCCTGAAATTGCTTCTAGAAATTTGTTTTAAGAAATATAATTACAGTTAGACCATATGCAAGTGTAGAAAACACACTGTTGTCTTAAAAATCATTATTTCAATGCATCCATCCATCCATTTTCAGTCAATTATCTGGAGTTGGGTCGCGGGGGCAGCAGCCTAGGTCGAGAGGCCCAGACTTCCCTCTCCCCAGCTACTTGGGCCAGCTCCTCTGGGGGAAACTCAAGGCATTCACTGTCCAGTCAAGAGACATAGTCCCTCCAGCGTGTCCTGGGTCTTCCTTTAGGTCTCCTCTTGGTTGGACGTGCCCGGAAAACCTCACCAGGGAGGCGTACAGGAGGTATGCTGACCAGATGCCCGAGCCACCTCAACTGGCTCCTCTTGATGTGGAGGAGCAGCAGATCTACTCAGAACCCCTCCGAGATGACCGAGCTTCTCACCCTATCTCAAAGGGAGTGCGCCATCCTGTGGAGAAAACTCATTTTGGCCGCTTGTATCCAAGATCTCGTTTTTCCAGTCACTGCATTTCCGATTAAAGACCATGGCCTTGAATTTAGAGGAGCTGATTCTCATGAAAGCTGCTTCACACTCAGCTGCGAACCGCTCCAGCAGAAGCTTGAGATCACATTCTGATGAAGCCGACCCACATCATCTGCAAAAACAGAGACCTGATCCTCAGGCCACCAAATGTATCTCCTCAACACCTTGGCTGCTCCTAGAAATCCTGCCATAAAAGTTATGAACAGAATTGATGACAAAGGGCAGCCTTGGCGGAGTCCAACTCCCACTGGAAACGAGCCCGTCTTACTGCCGGCATGTGGAACCAGCTCTGGCACCGGTCATACAGGGACCTAACAGCCCGTATCAGAGGGCCTGGTACCCCATACTCCTGAAGTACCCCCCACAGGGCGCTCCTAGGGACGCAGTCAAACGCTTTCCCTAAGTCCACAAAACACATGTAGATTGGTTTGGTAAACTCCCACGAACCCACCACGACCCCCCCCCCCCCCCCCCCCCCAGGGTATAGAGCTGGTCCAGTATTCCACAGCCAGGACAAAAATCACATTGTTCCTCCTAAATCTGAGGTTCGACAATCCAACGGACCCTCCTCTACCTCTGGAGTCCCACGGGCCAAAAAGACCCGATGGGACTCTGGGGATCCACGTCACAAAGTGCATGTTGTGCAGTGACAGTTACTTTTGAGACATGCTGCATTGTTCAAAGGTCTGAAGTCATCACTCATTTCTGTGTAAATAGCTTCCAAACAGCCAGATTTTCTTTTAATCTTGTAACGGCGTCTTGATCAACAGCTCTTCAAGTTTCTGAAGATCTTTCACAGTTTTTATTTGGATTTTGGCCGCTTTTTTACTCATTTTCAGCTCTGCTTCGAATCATTTTCAGAAACATTGTTGGGTGTTAAGCCATTTAATACTGAGCTAGAAATCCTTCAAGATGAACAATTGTTGTTTTGACACATATCAAACAAGGCAGCAAAGAACCAATTTATGTAAGTTCTTAATGCAGCTACATATCACCAAGACACAGTTTGTTCCAGTTTTAGGTGAATGACATAAAAACAATTTAGCACATAAAATGGCATTACTGTAACAACAAGGTGATTCCCACAGAGCTGAGAATGTGATCAACATAAGGATGGATTCCCCAGGTCCTGTGTCATACAGCTGAGGGAGTACATGAGCATTCAAATGTAGAAGAAAACACTGAAATACTTTAATAAAATCTAAAGAAAAATCCACAAAAATTAACTTTTAAAGGTGTAGTTCACAGACAAAACACTTTTTAAATGATTATTTCTGATTCTAACGGGCCACTCGGAGTGTTTCATGCAGGCTGAACATGAAATAGTCTCCTACACCTATCTCCTGCAGTAGCTTCTGATAGAAAACAGACGGTGAAACTCTAAGATTAGAAGATCCTGACAGATATACGTTACACTGTCACTAACATTCATGGAGTCACCCATCTGGACTTACGACGGGGAAGGCTGTTGTTGGTTTAGCGTCCAGGAAACAGCAGAGTGTCTCAGCTAGTAGAAGCTAACTGTTAGCATTAGCAACTCCCCCACACAGCAGAACTTCTCCAGGCTTATGTTATTGGTGGAGATAAAACATCAACGTTGCAGAGCAGAAAGAGTCAGTCGTAGAGTTGTGTTGCTGTTAGCCAATCAGAGGAGAGATGTCCACAAATCAGGAAGTAAGACTCCAGATCCTTCTATCTGAAACTCCGCTGTGATGTCCCAGACTTGGCCTGCTAGGCCAGTGGTTTATGGGCTTTTTGTGCCCCGAGTTGTGCCTGCAAGGCATGCATTCCTTCTAGAGACCACTGCAAATGTATTAAAGAGTAATCCACACCTTTTAAGAATTTGACGTGTGGATTATTGGAAACAAAAAACAAATAAGTTAGGGATAGTTTAAATCTTTGACACAGATCTGTAATGATGTAACTGTCCACTAGCAGTAACTGCACTGTAAATAGAAAAAGAGCTTTAATATAAGTCTGTAATTTGGCTTAAATTAAATAAAACTGTAATAAAACTATGCAACATGAGGCATGGTCTACCACCTGCCTCTGCCTTCAATGCTGTCATCATGCCAAGCTGCAGAGCCATGCAGCATTGCCCTGTTTGACCTGCAGATGTTTTAAGTGTGTGGCAGAGCATCTGTTGGAGGGTTATTACCATCTCCCATCTGGGCGGGTAGAGGGCCTCTCAGACAGCAGGTGAAGAGGTTGATTGGTAATTTGTCTCAAAGAGAAGGAGAAGGGAAGTCAGCAGTTAGAAATTTTAGCAATTTCCAGTAATTCTCTTGGTTAAGTGTGGTGTTTGTGTGTCTACTCAAATCCTGCCTTTATCCCTACTATTTGCATGTTTAGAACAGAAATACAGATGGAGTCTACACAACTCCCCAAGTCTAAGTTTAATTGGATGTTTTCTGCTGCCTTTTGGGCAACTTGGGCAAAAACAAATATGATTTTAAACCATTTTTAAATGTTCCTCCCTGTTAAACTGTTGCAGTTTACAGCTATTGATTTGTTCTGCTAGAGAGTTAGGTCAGGAGTTCTGGCCGTTTCCAAACCTGTATTTGTACGCTCAGGCTTGGGAGTGGTTGGTGGTGTTTCACTGTTTGTGTGTGTGACTCCTAACAGGTTCCCTAACTCTAATGTGGGATGATGAATGCTAGTGTCTGAGAAACGCATTTGCCAGCTTTGTTTAACTTTACATTTCAGTTTCTCACTGGTGAACCACGACTCCCAGACCTAAACCTTCTCACTCAAGTTACCTACGTTAGCAAGAAATCAATGAAATATTGAATGTTTCTCTTTAAAACAAGGTTGTGTGTCTCATTGAGACTTGTGTGTATAAAAAGGTTTATGAGTAGGGTTGACATTGAGCATCGATTGGAACCGGTTCCAACTGCTAGTTTTTCCCGTAATCGTTAAAAGTGTTATTTTTTTCAATTTCTAGTTTCAATTCCTAGAATGCCGACAGAAGAGGAATCCGCGGCTGATCTCCATGAAAAATAAAGGTGATCTGCAAATTGTGATCAACACTTTTCTGAGCTATCACACCAGCTGTCTGTGCGCAGCACCGAGTACCCCCTCCCCCCACCCCGCGCGCAGCGGCCAAATACAAACAAACGCGTCTGCCGGACTTTTACTCCATAATGTAAACTTTAACTCCTGCAGCGCAGAGGAAACTTGTTAAAATACGTCAACACAGTGGATTTACTAGAAGCTTTAAAGAACAAACTCTGGACGGTGTGAGGTGAGCTTGTCTCACTGCAGAAATAAAAACACACGGAGCGTCAGCAGTCAGACGCAGCCGCTTGACCACCTCAGTGTCCTCTGCCCCAGAGGGTGTTGTTGGGTGTAAAGTTGACCGGGATGTTGTGTTTGGAGAAGATTCTTCTAAGTTTCTCTGAGACTCCTGCCACATATGGGATGATGGTGCCTTTGCACTTGTTGCCCTTTTCTTTGCTAGTTGCTGCTGTTGATTCTTTCCAGACTTTTTTGTTGATTTCACAAAGGCCCAGTTAGGGTATCTGCTGGTGTCTGCAGTTGCTTTCATTCAAACCCCTTTGGATTACAATAACCTGGATGACTGAGAACCTTCACCAGCATACCTTTATCAGGTTTCTTTGATTTTGTTCCTCTTGGTGATATGTATACAGCCAGCATGTGAGATAACAAGTTACAGAAAAGTTCTGAAGGCACTTGTCGGAAATGAATCTGTATTAATGTAAGATGGGATTGTTATGAAACCCAGTAATGCCTTTCTGGAACAAATGATGTAAGAATTCAGTGTCATTCCCTGGGACGCTGTCTGAGCTTAGTGGAAGAATGTGTCAGGTGATGGATGGAGATTTCTCTCCTCTCTCAACAGTCTGTTTGGCACATCACTTCCTTTTTCCAGATTTTTTACTTATCCTACAAGTATTTTCCCCCTTCCTTCTTAACGTGTTGGAAATCCATTGCAAAATGACAAATTATTATTTTATATGTAGCCACCACCTCCATCTTGTAATGATTTAATGAACAATCACATCATGAAAAAATGGAATGCAGGAGATTATTTTTTAAGGCTTCTTTGAGGAAAAAAATGCTATGAAATATTTGTGCTAGAGTAGTTGATGTTGACAATAAACTGAATACCGATACAATGAAACGGAATATACTTTTTTTCCTTAACCCTTGAAACAGTGGAACTGTGTTGTGTCCATCAGGGCTGTTTCTTCTTTTGTTTTTGTTCATTTTTCCTTCAGAGCACCTGGCTGGTACTAAAAAATAAAATAAAATTAAGACTAATCAAATATTTAACCAAGCCACAGAAGCAGTGTTTTAATATTGCAGGACTGCAGTTCATATTCACTTGTTTCTCTCTCCCCCTTTCTTTTTTATTAGGTGTGAAATATCCAGGCCCGTCACCGACTCTTGAAGGCTTGGTCCAAAACCTGGAGCTGAAGTTCTGCAGCCGTGCGATGGTGAAATGCGCGTCGGGAACCGTGGGAGCTGTAAAAGTGTGCGCCAGGACCCCAGGTGTGTACAGCTGTGCCCTGTTAAAACTTTACTGCCTGTGTAGGAGGGAAAGAGTGAGACAGACAAGACTCTTCTTACGCTCCACTGTCTCTGTCCCTCCCTTTCTCCTGCCAAGCTTTATCTTGATTTCTGTCCAGCTATCTGATTCAGTTTCTAGGTTTTTTATTTATTTATTTTTGAGTGGAAGGGTGTCATTGGGTTGTGGTGAAGTCTTTGATAGTTATTGAGCTAGTGTCATGGCAAAGAGTTCACCAAGTCAAAATGCACACATGATGTTCGTTAGACTGAAAGTAAGTGTAGCTGTACTTATTAAAAACAAAACCGTGCGCAATGAGTGTTTCCTAATTTAAATAAACATCTAATCATCGACTGATGGAAATATGTTCACATGAAAACAAAACCATAACACTTTATTGATGTTCACAATGCTTTTGGTGCTGTTTGTTGATTTTGCATTTAATCTTTTCCTGCAGTTCTTGAAACTCTTAAGTAGTTTGTAAGGTCAGTTTAAGCTACAACTACATTCTTGAATTTATCGGCATCAACCTTGGTTGGTTTTATCTTACTGGTCCAGGACTGGGATGATACAAACGACTATCTCGTTGCTGTTTGCATATGTGTTATGGGTGTGTGTGTGTGTTAACTGAAGCAGATGAGCTAATAAGGTGTGTTAATATTTCTCTTTCAGGTTCAGGAGAGGGGGTAAAAGAAAAGCTGGTTCCCCTCATTCAGGGCCCATCTGACACCAAAGAACTCCACATGAGTCGCTGGCTTAATGAGATTCGAAAGCCTGAGTCTTTACTGGCCCCTGACTTGCTGGCATTTTCTGTTCAAGTCCCTCAACTCGGAGATCACTGCAGGAACTCTGGTAAGAACTTAGCTGGAAAATACATGAGTGTTGTTGCTCTTAAGTCCACAACCACATGCCATATCTTCTCATTGCTTCTGGGAAGAATCCGTCAACAAGTCATCTCCTTCCATCTTTACATGTACACATATAAATATGGTATGGGATAGTATGGTAGGGTATGGTATAGTAAGGGAAGGTATGGTATGATATGGTATGGCATGGTATAGTATAGTATAGTATAGTATAGCATAGTATGGTATGGTATGGTATGGTATAGTATAGAATAGTATAGTATAGTGCGGTATAGTATGGTAGGGCAGGGTATAGTATATTATAGTATAGTATGGTAGGGTAGGGTATGGTAGGGCATGGTATAGTATAGTATGGTATGGTACAGCAAGGGAAGGTATGTTATGGTATAGTATGGTAGGGTATGCATAGTATGGTATGGTATAGCGAGGGAAGGTATGGTATGCTATAGTAAGGGAAAGTATGGCATGGTATGGTATAGTATAGTTTGGTATGGTATAGCAAGGGAATGTATGTTATGGTATAGTAGATAGGGTATGGTATAGTATAGTATGGGAAGGTGTGGTATGGTATGGCATAGTATAGTATGGTAGGTCATGGTATAGTATGGTATGGTATAGCAAGGGAAGGTATGGTATAGTATGGTATGGTATAGTAAGGAAAAGTATGATACGGTATGGTATAGTATGGTATGGTATAGCAAGGGAAGGTATGTTATGGTATGGTATAGTATGGTAGGGTATGGTATAGTATAGTATGGTATGGTATAGTAAGGGATGGTATGGTATGTTATGGTATGGTATAGTATAGCATGGTAGGGTATGGTATAGTATGGTATGGTATGGTATAGTATAGCATGGTAGGGTATGGTATAGTATGGTATGGTATAGCAAGGGAAGGTATGGTATGGCATAGTATAGTGTGGTAGGGCATGGTATATATAGTATTGTATGGTATGGCAAGGGAAGGTATGTTACGGTATGGTATGTTAAGGTATACTGCATTGTTGGTTCCTTTTTAAAACACAGAAAAGGTTTCTTTTCTACCTTGCTGCTGACAGTTTTGTTCGCAGCTGCAAACTTCCTCACAGCTGACGCTGATGGTGGCGTCACTTCCTACTCCGTTTATCCACAGGCAGCAGAGGACACGCGGGCAGCAGAGGACACAGACAACGTAAAGTTCACATATGAGTCAGAAACAGAAGGCAGTATAGCACTTATGGACATGAAAATAACCAGGCAGACCGACGGGACCCTAAACATAAACACATATAGGAAACCAACACACACAGACCAATATTTATTATGGACATCAGAGCACCCTACCATAAGCAAAATGTCAGTAATCAGAACATTATATCACTGTGAAAACGTTTGGTTTTAACCCCAAATTGAACAAGTTTACCTAGATCTTAAAAAGCAGCTCAGATGATGAAACTGTAACTATGATTCTGATAGCAAGCTAACAAATTGAACTAGCTTCTCTAAGATAACCGGCTAGCAGAGCTTCTGACCGACAGTTAATGTACAGCAGCAAATCAACTATCCTGATTAACGAGGTTATAAAAGCTCAAAAATGAAAAATCACTTTGATGTGTGGGGGAAATTTTCCAGGCCCTCTTTAGCAGGGTGGGACTGGGAGGAGAGTGCTGTAGCCTTTTAGCTGGAAGCTAACCGGAGCCTGGCGCTAACATCACCACCCGGTGGAACACTAGCAACATGAAGGTGGGTTGGTTCACTGGCACGTGTCGGAGTCAGCCCGGTTATTATTAGCTGCTTAACGACACTGAGCGGACTCACGTTCACGTTTGAAAGCAGCGCTGATTCCAAAAACCTCAGCATAAAGTGCATTCATTGCTCTGAGCCAGCATGACGAACAAGGGAACGGCACCGCTAACTCAGTTCGGGTGTTGCTTTCCATCCTGAGGGCCTACGTAGGGGCAGACATATTACGTGAACGGACCCATCTGATTGGCCGCATATCAGAAGGGCTACATTTGATTGGTCAAATAATACTTCCGCGTAAAAAACAGAGCTGGTTTACAAAAAGTTGATGTATGACACGGATGGAAATGTTTGAACCAAACATTTATTGCCGTTTTTGACATGTTTTGTGATGGGTCTATCGCACGTCATTATCCCGATGACGATAATTTTTCTATATATTGTGCAGCCCTAGTATGGTACGTATAGCAAGGGAAGGTAGGGTATGGTATATTATAGTATGGTATGGTGTAGTAAGGGTAGGTATGTTATGGTATGGTATAGTATGTAGGGCATGGTATAGGGTATGGCATTGTACGGTATGGTATATAGTATTTTTGGTAGTATGGTATAGTATGGACCGCTGGAGATAGGCCCCAGCCCCCCGCGTCCCTACGTGGAAAAAGCGGGTTCAGACAGTGGATGGATGGATGTATGGTATGGTATGGTAGGGGTCCACTGATTTCCCTCTTTCCTATTCACTCTCTCTCTTTCTTAACATTTTTTCTTTTAAATCGCAATTGCTTATTCTTGCTCATTTTAAATATATTTTTAAACATTTTCGAAATGCTTTTTTATATTTTTACAATTTTTATATTTTTTGTTTTTGTTTTTGTGAAGCGCCTCATGATTTTTATCTTGAGAGGCGCTATAGAAATGATATTTTCTTCTTCTTCTTCTTCTTCTTCTATGGTGTGGTGTGGTGTGGTGTGTGGTATGTATGTATGTATTATTATTATTATTATTATTATTATTATTATTATTATGTAGGGTATAGTATAGTATAGTGTAGTATGGTAGGGTATGGTATAGTATGGTATGGTCTGGTATGGTATGGTATAGTATGGTATGGTCTGGTATGGTATAGTATGGTATGGTAGTGTATTTCATCTGTCAATGTATGTTTTGCTGCTATTGAGTCAGAACAGCTCATGTTTTTGGGTTTGGCTGGAGCGCTTAGATGATCTTCTGCAGTAGCATGCATCCCCTCAGTGCATACAGCTGCCGCCCAGTAAAAGTCCTTCTGTCTTAGTTTCTGCTTTAAGAGCAGATGTTAAAAAAAGAAGAAGGATTTATTCAGTAAATTCCTGTCAATATATATATATATACATGTGGAGCTACAGTAATTCTAGGGGCAGCACCTTTTTACTTCCAGACAATCTGCATGAGGAAGGTAGACTTGACATTTTTTCCCCAAAGACCCACTCTAAGTGATTCACTAGTTATCCTGCAACTTTCTGCCACTCAGCAGGAGACACTAAAGACAATGTAAAACAATCCACCCTAACTATTTGTTGTCAGAGCTGTCCTCAACATCTCAGCTCTACACCACTGTTCTTACGAGGATTTTTAGGATTTATCTTTCAGCCTTGACTTTCATAAAGCCGTGAAGCAGACCCTGAATCGCATCAGGACTCTGAGCCGTAAACATGCCAGCAATGAGATGTATCTCAGATAGTTTCAGACTGTAAGATGATACAGCATATGGTTTAGTAAGTCAGTAGTGACATAAAAATACAAACCGGTTTAGAGCGATGGAAGCCACGTCCAAGCAAGCAGCTCATTTAAATTATGCACGCTTAAACCAAGATCGAGACCACCTTTTGCAGCTTTACTGACAGAATGATTTAGGTTTGTTCTCTATAATATTTTCTCTGAAAGGTTATTACTTTGATTTAGTGCACATATTGTTTCAGCAGAGCAATGGCTCATAAAGTCGTGCATATTTTTGAATATTAAAACCTGACATAAACACAAAGCAGAAAATCCAAAAAGAACCACAAAGAGAAAGAAGATGAAGTCTGAGTCCCAGAAGCACAGAGTGTATCCCCAGCAGATGCTGAGCAGCATAGGTCTGCAATCCTTCTCAATAATGCAGGTTTTCTTTTTTCTGTCGACGTTGTTTAACGTGTCTTTCCTCCTTTCTTCTCATTCTGTCAGCAGATCTGTTGTTGCTCTAAGATATCTTTTCCCCCATCTATGATGTTCTTTATTATCCTCCACATGTTAGTTAGGAGTGTTTTAGGAGTCTCATTGAACATTTTTGTGATTTTACTTTCTGCCACTTATGACTTTTACATGTTTTCATTTCTCTTGTTTTAACTTCAATATGCTGGGAACCCAAGGGCACACCATCACACATGGGTGCAAATTCAAAGTTTGTGCCAGAAATCCTTCTTTTATCTGTCCAAGACCCGTCAATACAATCATGCATGAGACAGGAGAGGGGCTTGACATATAAAACGTCACCAGACTGGAACCTTTCTGTATGTGCCGCAGCCTGAGTGTGTGCACATGTCTGTTTTTTGTATGATGGTCAGACTTGCATCAAAGCCTTCGGTAAGTCCACATGTCCTGTGTAATAGCTGTCATCTACAGGTGGCTGTGGGCGTATCTGTAAAAACGTTGATAGGATGATAAATGCAGAGTCTTATTCTGTCGGAGACGTTCAGAAAAACTCTGTAATGCTGGAGTTTTTGCTCCCATGTAATTATTATAGAACCAAAAATGTAAACTGGACGTTAAAGGAACAAGTTGAGTCTTTTTTCCACACATCTGCAGTAAAAACAAATGTTTTTTGAGTCCATCTCTGTGGGAAAACAAGCTCTGGTGCTCCTCTTTCAGGAAGTAGAAGACTGCAGCATCTGGAGTCATTATTATTTCCTGGTATCTGAGCATCTCCTCTGATTGGCTAGCAGCAACACGACACTACCACTGAGACTGTTTGCTCTTCGTTTTGTGGTTTTCAGATGTGAGATGAGATGTGAGTTTCACCGTCTATTCTTTATCAGAAGCTAATGCAGGAGATAGATGTAGGAGACTATTTTCATGTTCAGCCTGCATTAAACAGAGTCACTGAACATATTTCAAAATAACAAATAAAAAACTGTTTTTCAGGGAACCTGGTTTGTAAAAGGCCACCCTCTAGTGTCTGGTTCCAGGATGTGTTAAATCCTGCACCCTTCGTGGAAGCTAATTAGACCTTGTCCTTGTTTTCCTAGGTGT